AGCATATATTTTATTACAACATAATATGATTGAAGCATAAAAATAATCATAAATTACGAATGTGGTATAGCTGTGCATATGATACATTGGTGTTAAGTGTAGTCAAAGATCTAAGGTTGCCATAAAATTAAGTTTGTCATACAAATTTAAATTGACAATTAAATTCCAATGGTCCATAATAATTAAAGATATTCATAATATACTTTTAACTTGAGAGTTTATGACAAATCTAATTCAGCATTAATTTTTTTATATTGCAAGTCATTAGAAACCTAAAAAATATATGTATGAAAAATAACTTAAAAGATATAGATGTTGGATTTACTTGACTTAAGTATCTTAAATTTAATAGCCTTTAAATACCTCCATCATATCTTTAGCTTTGGCATTTTGTCACAAATCTAATACACTTTTAAATATTTTACATAATATACTGTTTTAAGGTTCTAAGGATGAAATATAAATAAAAATTACATAATGTAGATTTTAAAGTCATATATCACTAGTAGTCATTGTTGGTTTTTATCCAAGGTTTACAACTCTTCAATCTATTAGTCCTTGACTTTACAACATTATATTGTCTCAAATCCTATCTAAAAAGGAGAATAGAGGAGTATGGAAAAAGTCCTAAGGTAAAAAGAGAGATGAAAATAAAAGCATTGAGGCTTTCCTAAATTACTTGATTTAATTATTATTTTATCCTATTAATATATTTTTTATCAAATTATTTTATTCTTTATTTTAATTATTTTAATATACTTCTATTTAATATTTTATCTATTATTTTATTATTAAAACTGGTCTAGATTTGAATTTTTCTCTTTTGTTACATCTAACTTTGCTACTAATTTAGTCATTCTTCTATAAATTATTTATTGATTATTTCTATGATCTTCAAATTCAAAGCCTCTTTATCTTTTTTCCTTTTTTCCTTTTTTTTTTTTTTTTTTTTTTTTTTTTTCCCCCCTTCAAACCAACTTTATATTATTCTAGAAATAGTCTTCATTATATAAAGAACAAAAATAGTCATAAATTACTAATGTTGTATACCTGTGCATATGATATACTAAACATTACACACATGATTATTTAGTTGGTCCTTTACACGGTTCAACAGCATTCATATCAAGATTCTACTAAATTTCATTTAATAGGTCCACAACAGATTTTTTTTTTTTTTTTTTTTTTTTTTTTGCTCTGAATATTGAAATCTACTTTGTGTAAATAAAAGAATGATGAACAGGAGAAACATGTGTTGTGTAGTGATCAAAGATCTTCTATGTGCCTTCTAGTGTAAAGTGAAATTCTAATCAAACAGGGTATTTCATTTTAGGTTTTTTTCATTCTACTCTATTCTTATTTTTACAAAAGTTAATACTTTTCTGTTTGAAAAAGAGCGATGTGACTTGAAACACGAGATTTTTTTTAAAAAGTTTATTGATAAATCATTTATATATTATGAGCTTAATTTTAACTCTACGGCAGAATTTTTTTCAAATAAAAAATGTATCTATATATATATATATATATATATATACATACTAGTATGGCCTGTGTACCCTGTTACACCCACCTGCCCTCAAAGAAAATTCTGTTTTCTTTGTTTTATTTAAATCCAACAAAAACCATAACATTGAGTTGGTAATTTTGAATCTATCAAACTCATATTTTGTTCAATATACAGAGTAAGGGAAACCAACATGTTATTTTTTTTCTAATTTTATGGTAGAGATGGTTGTTTGATTATTTTTTTGTTTTTTTTGTGGGAACTGTTTCAGTATGTAGGATGACACATTATGTTATGATCTATTATTTATGAAACTATATGTAATCAATTAGTATCTATTGGATTGATAGATTATAGAACACAGCATTATTACACAGAAGCATATAAATTTTATGTGTTGAAAATTATCAAATTTCTGATTGATATCTGTTAACTGGTGCAAAGTTTTAATTAAAATGTATACGATGTATTTATTTTTTGATGTATTCCAACTTCTTCAGTGATTGAGGATTGCTTCAAAGTTGGATTGAAAACTGTTCAGTACTAAAGTTCAATTAAACAATAATTAAATGAAATACGTTTTAAAGTTTGTTCATGCATTTCGTATTGATATCTGCAAATTTATACAAATTATCATTAAAAATAAATAATTCCTGTTAAATCTTATTCAAAAAATTAGAATATATATATATATATATACACACATACATATTAAAATTTTATTGAAAATTTTAATATTCTTTGATATTTAGCAAATATAGAGACAAACAATGTAGTTTGATTTGATGAAGTGAGGACAGTGCACATTTAGCTCACATACTATTTACAAAGTGTTAAAAGAAAAACAAAAGCTTTACTTGGATAACGTGTTGACATGTTTTCAAATCTAAACAATTGTGTGGCCCCAGATTTAAAGTTAACTTGTCTAAGTTAAGTATCTAGTGTACACCCAGACAAGAGATCACAACACACAACAACATTTTAGAGATTATGTGTAGAAGTTACAGATGGTTAAGCCTTCATGCACAAGCATGCAACCACACACCCCAAAATGTCTTTATTCAAACAATTTAATGTTAATACTACAAAAACACGCACTTGCACAAAAAGCAAAGAAAATTTTAATTTCACTTAATTTTTTTTTTTTCCCTTTTTCTTTAATATGGAGGTTTAAGAAAACCCACATAAGCTCCATGCAACACAAGAGAGTGGCTGGGTGGAGGAAGAAAGCACCTGACAAAAGCAAAGTCCAGTGATGTGATTGCACAGGATCTCCCTGCCACCAAAAACTGAAAAATGGGCAAAAAAATGGGGCACAACCTGGTGGGTGGCTATAGTGAATTCATCAGGCATTGAATGGGTGTGACATGGCAGCTGGTGATGTGGCACTCACACCAAGTTCCCATTAATTTGCTTACGTGGCAACGCCAATGCCAAGCGTGTCTTGAAAAGGGAGAGAGAGGCCGAGGAAAGAAAGAAAGGTTGCGGCGGGCATGGGAGTTTTCTTTTTTTTGCTTGGGGAGCATATCAATATGGTGGCCCTGAGGCTTTTCTGGTTTATTGGTGTGGAACAATGACCCCCCCCCCTTTTTTTGTTTGCATATTTGCAACCATTCATATTGGTATTTTTTTTTGCTTATTTAATTCTTGGTTCTACCAAAATTTTATCTGTGTTTTTGCTTCCCTACAACCAATTTTCATGGTTGGTGTTATGAGTTCAACAATGAGTTTTGACAGGGTCATGTAATGAATATGACGTATATGGCAATTTATTTATTTATGTTTCTTCTTGCTTGTTTGTGATGCTGTTTTCGGCTTGTTTATCTGTTTTGATCCAGTAATTTCTTGTTATGTGCTTTGTAATTTTTTTGAATCATGTCACTAATCTTGTGTGGATGAAGTGGCCTTGATTTGGTTTTGTCCATAACTCCAATCAGTCTATGTTCTAACTCATTGGAATGATAGAGTTCTTTAGTATCACAAATTGCCAAGAATCATGGATTTGAGCAACTTTGAAAAATTATTCTCATTTTCTCATTATTTCTATTTTTAGTTTCAAACTTGCAAAATTTAAAGACCATTAAAATAATGTTGTTTGTACTAAAACATAGCATTTTAAAACATTTTTTTAATTTTATTTTTAATTACATTGAAGAAATAAAAAAAATACTCCTTCTATAATGCAAAACTAATTATTAGATAGCAATAACAACACAGCAACAACAATCACAAATTTATTTCATCTGTTTAGATACACTTAAAAATCCAACACTTTAAAAGACACTCAAACATAAAATGTAGTAACGATAACTCACAGTCAAACTGCAACTCATATGAAATTAATTGTTTTTTTGAAGTTTGCAAACTTTCATTAAAAAAAAACTCTTTTTAAATTAGTTACTTAACACCGCATGTTTACCTACAAGAGCATGTTAAAATGACAACAATCACACACACATATGTATATATATATATATATATATATATTATGTAGCTGTAGAACTGAACTTTGTCAGAAAGAAAACACATTCAAACAGTAAAAACATAGTCAGAATTGGGTGATAGTTCTCTCTCTCACGTTGAGCCGGCCGCGACGGATGCGAAGATCGGCTCTTAGATTGCGAGCTTTGGTGGGGAGGCGCCGCCGCGACGCATCTAAACTCGCTAGATCCGCATATGCCACCCCTCCACGAGCCCAATTTCCTTCCCGACATGCGAAGTTGATCGCACTTTCTGATAGATTTTTTTCTATATTTGTCTTCAGGCGCAGCTCACGCATCCATCGCACACAACAGCGCGCGACGCAATGCCACGAGCTGGCCATGGCATTGCAGCACCCGCTCTCCCCTCTCACATCATCATCCCCTGTGAGGTTTGGAGATTGCTCGTGACTTCACGCGGAGATTTTCTCTCACTCACCCATGCTGATGCTCACGAATTGTCTACCAAGTATTGTAGCAGAGATGAGAACGTCGCGATTGGGTGGCAGGCATGGGATGTTGTACGAGCTTGGATAACCAGCGTGGGACAGCGGAAGCTCATGAGGAGCTCACTCGGACGGTGTGCATGTAGCCTAGCCGTGGTGCGTTTGGTGATGCTTTAGCGCTTGCTGGGTTTAGACTTAAATTGTGGGCTGTGCGAGGGAGTGAGTGGTGTGTGCTGGAAGGTTTGGGAAGTTGGGTCCCACCGGATTCCGGCAAGGGATGCCACGAGTTGGAGGTGAATGGGATGAGGTGGAGTACTGTGCGTTGAAATTTGGTTCGTGGGGGATTTTGCTTGTGGACTTGGCTGGATCGGATGCTCTCTTCCATGGCTACGCCGCATGAATGTCGGAGGCGGGTGGAATCCCCCCTTTCTTTTACACATGGGATCCTTGTCATGTCGTAATCCAATTGTTGTTTATCTGGCTGAAGCAAGTTGATCTTAGATAAAGCTCTCCCTGGTCTTCTCAATAAACCATGGGCGATGGTGTGCGCTAGACGGCGGTAAAGATTGAATCAATACGAGGGGAGTATTCAACGCCATGTTTGTGAATTCCGCCCATGTCAGAAGGATTTCGGACATGGTTGAACTCAGGTCATGCACGCTGCAAAGAATAATCGTCAAAAGCCAAGGGCAAAGTGGATGTCAGCACTCGTGAACTGTGTCCTGCACCAGCCTCGTGAGGGCCTGGAACGTCGGGTTATTTGCGTGTCAGGATTTAAGCTGGTCCTGCCCGCCTTGGATTCTTAAAATTTCCCCCAACAGTGCTGATCTGTGATGCATTCCTCAAGTCGTTACGTGTGCCGTCACTTAACGGAGATTCTATGTTCGTGAGGCGTCCCTAGGGAGGATATTAGAACAATGGTGAAGTTTTCGAAGCAGCTGGAAGGCTCTCTGGTTCCGGAATGGAAGGATGCCTACTGCAACTACAAAGAACTCAAGCGAGATGTGAATCGTATCAAGGAAGATCGTCTGCAGCAGATCAGCTCGCTTCCTTCTAACAGCTCTTGTGGCAGCCTCAGGAGATTGGGATCCATGTCGCAGTTGCACAGCCTTAGCACCCATATCATGCGAACAGCTCATGGATTGAACCCTCTGAGCCGTGACAGTGACCAGTTCCGCGTGGTGTGTGTGTGTATACTTCTTCCCGAGTTCTTGAATCATTAATTCAATCGTCCCTGGATTCATCATAATTTTGCCCCGCATCGAAAATTTCGTCAGAACACTGAATTCTCCCAAATGAGGTTCTTACTTCTTTGATTCTCTTGAGGTGTTTGGTGTCTATTCTGAAGTTCTTTTGATACAGGGACACAAGCACAAGAACTCGACAGATTGGAACGAGGATGCAGCGTCTATGCTCGACGACAACGAATTGCTTGAACCACTTGGCCAGACACAGCAAGACGAAATTTTCTTCAACCGGTTGGACGCAGAGTTGGAGAAAATCAATCACTTCTACAGAACCAAAGAGGCAGAGTATGTTGCCCGCGCAATGCGCCTGGAGAAGCAACTCCTTGCTTTATTTGAGGTTCGAGAAGCTCTCGCACGCCAAAGCCTCAAGATGCGCACCTTCTCCTTCACCAAATCTCAGGATCGCAATACAGAACCCCATTCCGGTGAGTGGATAGCATATCTTTGGAAGAATGTCTCTAGAAACGTCACGCCACAACCTTTCCTTCTGTAAATTTGCCGCGATTCTCAACAATGATCCTTCTGGTTCTTCTAGTAGACATGTAGAACTGGGGCTTGTCATCTTGAGATTTGCTTGCACAAGACTCCTAGGCTATCTGGTTTTGATGTGACCTCGGACTTCGGCAGCAAGGAGATACGAAAGTCCACTTCTCGAAGTCATCACCGTGCGACCTGAAGAGCAGCCGTACAAATGTAGCGACAGCATAAAGGAGAAGGAGAAGCCATTTCGGGCTCATTCGGAGGAATCAACTTCTGGCAACACCTCATCCGATGAGGAGATGGAAATCATAGCAAATTTTATTGAGAATGTTGAAGTGACATCTGAGGCTCCGGATATGGAAACTGAAGAGTATTGTGTCGGTGTATCGCCAGTTGACCTTTACGACCGTAGCCTACAGAGTCTCCCCTGGTCTACTCGGAGCAACTCTCCCTCACCATGTGAAAAAAATTCTCAATACGGGTTCGGCACCCCTGACACTAACCAACTCCATACCGTGCTTGAAAGGAAAGGTGACTTCCAAGCTAGGACGTGGGATTGTAAAGACATAGTGGAACATCAGGGAGTCCGTAAGCCGAAGCGAAATCGGCCAAAAAGCATCATCCAAGATATGATCGACATGAGCCTTGGCAAGAAAAAAGTTCAGAGCTCTGAGAAGATGCTGCGCACTGCATTTGTTGAGTTCTATCGGGGTCTCGGCCTGCTCAAAAGCTACAGGTACTGGTTTTAACTTGGAAGATTTGTCATGATCCACATATCATTCTATCTGTACCTGGTATCTGTGGTCACACATTCAAGGTCGTAGCCAGTTGTTATTTTTGAGTTTAACCTGAGAGTGAGACAGGTCTGGAAAAACTGATGTATTCATGCTGACGCTCAAGTTTTGATGGATGCATGCAGCTCTTTGAATTTGGTGGCATTCGCGAAAATCATGAAAAAGTATGACAAAGTGGGGAGACACAGATTTTCACCGTTGTACATCAAAGAAGTGGAGAGCTCCTATTTTGCAACTTCAGATAAGGTACTTGAAGTTGGATTGAACAGTCCACTTGTATTTTTGGTTTGCTGCGAGTAGATTTTCATTCCTGCACATTACTCCGATGTTGAAAGGCACCTTTCACTGGCATCCTCAGCAACATCACACCAAAAAAAAAACATCCAAACCTATTAGCTGGTGATGAGCAGCCATTTATCCTTGTAATCGTTAGCCATTCTGTAATTTAGATCATGTGACGCATATGTCATCTGATTTAGATCATGTGACACATGATCTAAATTACAATATACGCGTCATCTACTTGTATATGTCGCAGGTGACAAAGTTGATGACCAAGGTGGAGGAAATCTTCACCAAGCATTTTGCCGACCATGATCGACGAAAAGCTATGGCACAGCTCAGACCCATACAGCAACGTGGGGGTCATAGCATAACTTTCTTGCTAGGTACGACGAATTAATCTATCATGTACACTTCGACTCTAGATGGTCATATTGGCTGCATATGTTGCCTTTCATACCTCCATAACAATGATGTGATTCATCATTCCATTTGCTTTGAAGCATTTTTTCAACCTAGATCATTTTCATCTAGTAAACCGGTGTGGCCTCCTCCCATCAAGTGATCGTAGTCTGATGGGTAGTCGGCAGTTCCTGAAAACAAGTGGCACTGAAGTTCAATACATATCTGACGCTGTTGTACTCATCACAGGTATTTTTTCAGGTGTTTCAATGGCACTGCTAGTAGGATTTCTAGTGTTATTGTCTTCGACGGTACAGTATAGAATGTTGGGAGGTCGCAAGTACATGGACACAGTTTTCCATGTGTTCAGCACTTTGGGTTTAATACTTCTACATATGTATATGTATGGATGGAACGTCTACGCATGGCAGCGAGCACGAATCAACTACCCTTTCATCTTTGAGTTCTCACCGGGTACAGAGCTCCGATACCGTGAGGTCTTTCTGGTCTGTACAGCATTGACAAGCTTGTTACTGGGCACCATGATTGCGCACATCATTGCGAGCACCAGAGAGGCCACGCACTTCGGCACCTCAGAATTTGCTCCTCTAGGGATTACTCTGGTAATCAATTACTCACACATCTAAAACTTACGCTGTCATCACACATTTTTGTTTGAGATGATTGGTACATGTTATCATGCTAAATACTGAATTTTATATTTGATATATCCATGTATGTGGCTGCGTCTTGTGCAGTTTTTTCTGATGGCGCTTTTTACGCCAGTGAACGTACTTTATAGATCCTCGCGAATGTCCTTTCTTCGTTGCACGCGACGCGTTGTTTGTGCCCCTTTTTTTAAGGTATAAACCATTCCCAATTCTGATATAAATGGTTACCTTCGCATGAGCACAACTCTAAGATTCATCATCTTCTCACTGGCGTAGAGGAGCAAGTTCCTCAACCCAGCAATGAATAACATAGAAGCAAGAAATCTGGTGAAGCATGATTCAAGAAACTTATCTTTTTTATGTTTGTGGTTCTTGAAACTTCCAGGTAGTTCTGGCTGATTTTTTTCTCGGTGATCAACTGACAAGCCAAGTAGCTTCGTTTCGAAATGTTGAATTCATGTTATGTTACTTCTCTGGTGGGTATTTCCAAGACCGAAACCCAGACGCATGTACTCATAATGCGGCTTTCAGAGTGATGATGTATGTCTTCTCCTTGCTGCCGTATTGGTTTCGTTTCATGCAGGTAATACACATCTTTCTTCCCTCATGATCAATTGAGTCCTTATTCTTGCATTACTGCTGTCTCCAAGTCAATCGATCTGTCGTCGAAGAGCTAATCATCCTCAATTTCCAAATCATGGTTTACATGGAACTGAGGCACATCAAAATGTCGAATTATGCAGTGCTCGAGGAGATGGCGAGACGAAGGTGACAAGATGCAGCTTTATAATGCTGGGAAGTATGCGTCTGCAATGTTCGCTGTGGCGACTAAACTCACTTACATGATTAAAGGAGACAAAATTTGGCTGGCTCTTTTCATTATGATCTCTTGTTTTGCAACTCTTTACCAGCTTTACTGGGATCTTGTTGTCGATTGGGGCCTGCTTCAACGCAACTCAAGGAACCGGTGGCTCCGAGACAATCTCGTTCTGAAGAAGAAATACCTTTATTTTGTTTCTATGGTAAGAACGATGTCCTCACCTGGTACTTTATCCAGTTATTTTTATTTTATTTTATTTTAATTCGTTTAATTCTTTTGCAGTGTGCAACATTGGCACTTAGAAAATTTCATTCATTGCTAGAGTCCTGGTTTACCGTAAACCAAGGAAGCCTTTTTCTTTACATATAAAGAGTACCCCGTTTCGTAAAAACCTAACGGCCTGTTATGATGTGGGATTAACTTGAGCAGGGCGTGAACGTTGTCTTAAGACTAGCTTGGGTGTCATCTATACAGCATGTGAATATGATTCCAGGATTCACTCAAGCAGGATGGGATATCATCTTTGCATCTTTGGAAGTGATTCGTCGGGGGCATTGGAACTTTTACAGGTACTTTTGATCTCCTGTACACTGCATTGAGCAGAACAGCCGCTAATAATCTTTGCGCAACTTTGGGTTGTGAATGGCAAAAACCAATTAACTATACAATAGTTTGCAAATCACTGCAGAAAAACTTTGTAATGTGGTTTTTTTCCCGTAATGTGGCCTCTCAGTTCTTTCACCCCTCCAATGAACCGTTGGAGGATTAATCTCACCGACTTTAGTTCGTTGTGATTGATGTGTGCAGACTGGAGAATGAGCATATTAACAATGTGGGTAAATTTAGAGCAGTGAAAACAGTCCCCCTACCATTTAAGGAATTTGAGGGGACGTGCGTGTAGCCTCAGCCACAATAGTAAACAACATTTTGTAGAATATCCGGCAGTCTGAAGAGACATTTGAGACACAATAGGCATGTACAGATTCAATTCTTGCCGAACTTGTCAACTTACCAAAGTTAGATTTACGTGGAGGTGATCCCTCCTGTAGCAATTTTTGCTAAGACCAGATAATACTGTATTGCAAGCTGCCTAACTGGGTAGTCGTTAATTGTCATTGAGACCAGAATGTTGGTGCTTTTCACATACTTCAGCTTGCAGGCATTTAGACATTTTGTTCACTACCCTAAAATTGATTAAATGTTGAATCTGTTCATTGAAGTCCAGAAATTTTTCATTTTCCTTTCCAGAACTGGGGTGGACTATATCCCTTCGCTTTAATGGATTTCTAAAAGTCTGCCTCAATTCAATAGTAAAAAGATTGTTTTTTTAAAAAAATGCATAGAGGACAATTTCTCACCATTCTTTTTTTTTGTGCTGATATGGATAGAAGAATAATATACATACATATGTATAGAGAGATTAAAATAATTGGTTTTGATTCTCTTGATCATTTTCCCTTCTACTAGGACTTGATGTCAAAACTCATGATTCAACTTTAAGTTACAATTACTAGTGTGTGTGAATATATATATATATATATATATATATGCATACATGCAACATCAAAATAGTTTTTACTTTATACCATATATTTAAAATATTTCATTTTACTTCAAAATATTTTAAAATAATAGATGGTATTATAAATTTGTATATAAATAAGTAAATCTAGTTTAAATTATTTTTAAAAATTATTTATAAATACATTGTTTTTTTGTATTGAATTCAATATGCCACAAAGATACAAAGAGTGTAATTATTATTTAAAAGAAATTATTTAAAATAATTACATAAAAATCATATAATAGACATTCTATCTAAGAATACTTTAAAGAATTAAGATTTTCTTAGTAATTGATTATGCTAGATACTTTTTAATACATATCATCTAAGTATTAACTTACCTAAATTTTTAATATTACATAAATTTTATATTAATATTGATGTATGAATATATATATATATATATATATATATATGTGTGTGTGTGTGTGTGTATTGCTATAAATAAATCAATTATTAAAATTGGTACTAATAAAAATAATAGAATCAAAAAAGTCTTATAATTAAATAAAAAACTTAGTGCAAATATGCAAAAAATAATTTCTAAATTTTAATATACATTAGAAAAAATTATCTTTATTTTTTAGTAATTTTAAAATAATTATTTTTATTTTTTTGTTATATTTTTTTGTTTACATTTGTATGGTGAATAGGCTCAAGTTCTTATTTACTTGATTCTTATTTATTGTAGTTTTTTATTTATCAACTACTTAGTTTAATTTATAATTAATCAAAAACATGTATAATAAAAATTAAAGTTTAATTCTTTTTATAATTTTAACCATGAGCAATAAATCATTAAATTTTTATATTCTTATATATATATATATATATATATATATTTGTATGTATGTATATTTATACCATTTGATTAATAACAATCTTTAATTGCAATAACAAGTCATATAGTGTAATAACAAAGAATTTAAAGTTTGACTACTTTAGAAAAGAAATTCGACATATTAATATTACATATGATATGTCAAATTTAAAGTATCAAAAAGTCAAAATATTTAGCTAGATTTTATACCTTAAATTTATTCCTTAGTTTAAGATATAGGCTTGCATTTAAAAAAATATTTTAATAGCCAAATTGCCATTCTTGTTTATATTCTCTTCTTATTATTTTGTTATTTTATTATAATTAGATTTTATACTTAGAAATAATATAAAAATTTAATATTTTTTTTAAAAATATGAATTGATATACATTAATATTAAATATATTATTAAAATAATTAAATATTTTTTGTATTGTAAAATTAAAACCTTTAGAATTTAGATTAATTTTTTATAGCATAATAATAGCTTTAATCTATCTTAAGGACAAGAATTTAAAGAATGTAAATAAACAAGTAAAACATTTTTCAAAAAAAGATGAGAAAAAAAAAGAAGTAAATATGTAAATTGTAGAAGAAATTAGAATGACTATTGCCAAAGAATAAGAAACTATAAATTCTTGAAACTAATTTAGAAGCAAGAAATGAGTTAACAAGAGTGAAGAAGGCCTCAATCTTGATTTTATATATATTATCTACTCAAGTGTTAGGTGGCAACATTTTATATATATTATCTACTCAAGTGTTATGTGGCAACATTTTATAGGACCTCCAACACATGTCAAATTTGCAAGACAAGCTTCTTATATGTGCACCACATGTCCAACTTGTTGACTTAATTTTTAACCTACCAATCACCTCCAAATACATATAATAGCAAAGCTGCATCTATAAAACTTTTAAGTAGCTTCTCTACAATATATTATCAAATTTATCTGCTTTTACGTACTTCTACATATTCATATTATTTATGTATTTATTAGAATAAATATATATGTCCAAATAATATTTTTGTTTTCTTACACAATCTAACAAATATTTGAATAATATACTAGTATTTTTATTGAATAATAATAATAATAATAATAATAAATATAAAAAAGATTATATGCAAGATAAAAGAAGCCATACTAATATGCAATACAAGTAGAATGTTATATTTTCTAAACTTGTGCTACAATAATATTATGTAGATGATTGTTTTTAAAGGACATCTATCTACAAGAAGATTTAAGGCTTTGCTCTAAATCTTCTATCTTGTCCACACAAATTTGTCAATGTCCACAAGTAGTACCTTATGCTTAAACTACAATCTTTTGAAATTTAACAATCTATACTTTGTAGTTCTTCATTATTCTATTAGCTTGGTTAATAATGTAAGTAAAATAGAAGTGACAAGTCTTGAAGTAGAACTTTATAAAAATATACTTACTTATAACTTTCACACAAAAAGAAGTAAAGAAGTTACAAAAAAATATTTGAGTTCATTTTTATCAATAAACAACAATAAAAAATAATATATATATAGCTTATATTAAATTATACTTCAAAATAATAAATAAATTCTATATTATAATAATCATAAATTCTTAAATTGAAACCTCATTTCTACATCGATAATTCTAAATCTCAAGTATATTCAAATGTTTGTTAATTTAAGTATATATACACTAAGAATATATAAAAAACCACATTTACATCAAACAACCATGGTTAATATAGGTTTAATTTCTTAGTTTCTTCATGAATGAGGATGTAGAATCCAATTGCAATATTGTGTCTAATAATGGGTAGAAAACAAAAAGATTTTTGTCGAAAATAGATGAATGTTTGTCTACAGCCCCTTCATAGTAAAAATTCAGGACTGTGCTACTATAACGAAATATGAGAACATCAAAATACACTATGTTGTATTTGAGATAAACTTAGCCTATTCTAGTAACAAGGCTGGAGTTGAGATAAATTTAGATGCTTCTAGGTTAGAAAAGAGTGGGAAAAAGTAGAAAAATTGAGGGAACTCTAGATTGTTGAATAATATTGCATCACTGGCCAAACCTTTCAAAAAGATGGACGTTCTCCAAACTCGGTAGGGGCAGTTCAGAGAGGAGTAAGAGTGAGTACATACGCTTAAATCCAATCTGCAAAGGAGTATTTTGGAAGGCCATCTAATGGTGGATTCTTGCAAAAGTTAGTGCTATAAAAGGACCTCCGAAACTCCAACCAACTAGAAAGCTCTGCATTTGTTGAGTTATGGCGTTGTCTCGGCATACTCAGGTTCACTTACAATTGTCAAGATTTAAATCACATTATGTTCCAGTCAAATTTTCTTCAGGAATCTGGAATCTGAAGTAGAGTTTCAGGCCAGTGAAGTAGGTGTATAGAAACTAAATTGCAGCCGCACATGAGTATTCCAGAAGCAATGACATTTATTCAGATCAATAAAATTGCGTCAGGTTGGAAAATAAGGAAAATTCTCAATTACCACTAAAGAGTACGTTTTCAAGAGGGCCAAAACAAAAGGACGCAATTTCATACTCCGTTTATACTCCATAAACTGCACTGATAAAAAGTACAAGACTGACTTCTGCGTAACAAAATGAACAGTATATTGACACTATAATATTAGTACACACAATTCTCGTTAGGTTTCACTTTAGTTTTTACTGGGCGTCTGCGACGCATGTAGTTGCTGCAACACATAGAGCGAGGCAGCGGATAAGAAAATGGCCACAGAATACAATAGTAGGTCCACCGAGCTTACGATACGTACCGTCTTGCTCTTCTCGAACAGTTTGACAGTAAAAATCATCACGATACAGTGCCCGAGCTTCGTCTTCAATGTATCCAAGGAAGTGATCTGCATCCATCGCGGCCGTGTCTGTTTCATAGAAACAATATTAGAAATTTGTTTGCTTGGAGAATAAAGTGAATTCCTTACCAAACCTAGTGTATGCTTCACAGGCAGCTTCATCACCTTAACGATCATGGTGTACACGTCTAAGGCAAGTAGATTTGCATGAACATTAAGCACGTCCTTACATAGTCCGCAATCGTGGAGTTCGAGAGTATTCATCCGAAATTATTGCTTACCGTTAGTGAGAACATGCCGAAGAGGTTGGTATTTTGCAATGCACGGTCATATTGTGCGTCGTGAGAGTTGCTGCTGATGAATAGTCCAAAGAGACCCATCCCAAATATCAGCATCACAGTTCCCACCAAGTATACTTCTGGTTCCCCACCAATCCTCACACAAGTCTCCGTTAGTCATGAAAGAACGTAAGACCATAGAGGAACATCTTCAATACCGCAGAACTGTTGCAAGATGGTCTCCAATCATGATACAATCTTCACATGTTGAAGGTTAAAGCTTGACGTGATGGTTAAGTGCTTACCGACCGCTTCGACAAGTCGAAGAATCACCTTTCCGGTGTGTAAGCCACTCAGACACATTCCGAGGTACGCAATATAAGAATCACATATAAACCCACATCCCTGCGTTTTAGCACTGCATTTTCAAAACGAGTATGAAGGACATTGCTCAGATTTTCAAATAAAGTCCTAGATTCGTTTCAATTTGGACTTCAATGGCAAACTTAATGCGGCTCACAAAAATGCCAGTCATGTAAGGTTATAATACCCTAGAAACTAAGTTAGCATGAAGATGATACATAGAGACAAGTGCATCTAGACCCAAATCATCGGAATCATCACAGTTGTAAATGGAGAAAAGGGAAAAGAAGTATGGTTTGCATGTGACCTTGAGGAAGCAAAGCAAAGAGCCCACGAGAGAGCCGCCGATCGCCATGAGGGTAAGGAACCGGAAATCAAAGATGGCCTGCCAAAATAATTATCTCATCAACTGTAGCGAAAGCCGCCCCCCTACAACTCTGCAATCTGCACTTATCGTGCAAACCTCGTCAAACACAAGTTCAGTCATACCTTCTGGATCTTGGTCTCGGTAAGAGCGATCCATGGCTTCGGTCTGGTCGTTCGTTCTTCTCGCCCTTCGGACGCAAAATCGGAAGGATTCACCGTTGAGGTCACTTGCGCGGCTCCATTCTGATCAGAAGCAGGGGAATTCTTCAACTCCCGAGTCATAAAGCCAGAACTATCATCACCTGATCCCTCGAACTCTCCAATGCCTACACTAAGAGCGCAGCACTGGAACATGCTGCGATGATGGACGGGCTTCCAGGTGGGTGCCAATTGTGAGCTAGAGATGGAGCTGCGTTGAACTCGCAGCAGCGACAAGTGGTGACTCGGGGTTGATATGATCTGCGTGCGCGCGAGTAAGAGCGCCATCCCTTGGTTTCCAATTAGTAACCTTACTTGTCCAGCTACAAAATCAGACAAATTCAAGCAACTGGTAATGAAAGGTTCGTTTTGTAATTTCAAATTCCACACGGTCTGTGAGAAAAAGCCCCAAATCGATTAAGCGACGCAGCGAAACCAAGTGCTCAAATCGACAACGCGGAGACCCCAAGTGGCGATCGACTCGATTGGAGTGTGAGGTCATTGGAATCGCAACAAGCAGACTGCGGTGCGAAGTTTCGAAAATGGGTCCTCAGGAATGGAAGGAAGGTGCAGAGGGGATTCTTATCCACCCGCGACGAACCACCACATCAGCTTGAGATTGTAAGGTTGGAATCAACGCGTCGCAAAACGGCGCTTGGAGGACACCAGCGTCCCTCGTAGACATAAAATCCGGCCATGGTTGTGGAACCCAAACGCATCTGCGGGAACCAAATCGTGCGCATAAGGGGGAAAATTTTGCAACACTTTTCCTACAACATTGCGCTAAAAAGCAACTCAATTCTTAGATGCCATCGTTGGTTGTGCTTCCTCCGAATGACAGAGGTAACACATTAGTAAATTGTAACCGTAACACACAACGGATTCAAAATTTTAACTGAAATCTCCCGTGTATCGAAAATTATAAAAACTTGGATTGATTTATTACACACCCAATCATGAAATTAAATACCCGCCTGCCAAACCTCCACAATGTAAGTGCGGGTATCATGGCGGATAGTGGGACTAAGTTGGGGAACGTGAGGGTCCAGTGGACTAGGATTGCGCATGAGCGACACGTGCTGTGGAATTTCCAGCTGAATGCTTTGAAATTCTGCCTTCCCTCCATTTCGCGCTCTTCAGAATTTTTCGTAATTTTCGGCGCCTGGTTTGTGTCTCTAGAGACTGTGTGGAGGTTGAGGTTCAAGGCCTCCCTCGGTAATCTGTGTAGAGATGGGGCGGGTGGTTCATTGGGTTCTTGCGACGTGAGTGTTTGAGGGCAGGTTTCATGCGCCACAATCGGACTGGGTTTAGACAGTGGTGTGTGTTTTCTCTCAAAATGGTGGTGGTGTGGCCAGGTTTGATCAATAATTGCGAGTGTTTCTTCTTGTTTAGTTAATGTAGTAGCAATAGGATTGAAACTTCTGATATTCAATGGCTGCCACCGCGGAGGGCCGGAGGATTCGAATGGGGCGAGAAGAGCTGGTGGACGGGGAGAACGTCGTCTTCGAGACAAGCGCAGGCGTGGAGGTCATTTCCAGCTTCGACCGGATGGGTATTCGGGAGGACCTGCTACGAGGCATTTACGCTTATGGCTTTGAAAAGCCATCCGCCATTCAGCAGAGAGCAGTGACGCCAATTATTAGTGGACGGGATGCTATTGCCCTGGCGCAGTCTGGTACAGAAAAACCTCCATGATTGCTCTGGCCGTTTGCCAAATGATCGACACTGCAACCCGTGAGTGAGTGTGTTTTATTTTATTTTATTTTAATTTTAATTTTTTTCTTGTCCTCACTGCATCCTCACTAATTTTTCCATGTGTACCAGTGTTCACTTAACGAGCCTGGATTTTTCATTTTTTCAATCTTCCCCGCGACAGAGGTCATGTGAATGTTAAATTCTGCAACGCCAAATTATTTTCCCTCTGTATTTCTGCAATCTTTCTCATGAGATATGTTATCATGATTTTATAACAACGAAGATGGTAATGTATCTGCAATAAGAGCATGAATTCATCTGTATTTAAAGGAGTGCGACTCTATTAATTTAGTGACTCCTCAAGAATTTCGTAAACACTATCATGGGTAAAGCACAGTACATCTCTATGCCACTAATTAACTAAGATGTCAACAGGGTGCAGGCCCTCATTCTGTCACCCACCAGAGAGCTTGCTGCTCAAACGGAGAAGGTGATTCTTGCAATCGGTGATTTCATGAATGTCCAATCTCATGCTTGCATTGGAGGCAAGAGCATTGGTGAAGATATTCGGAAGCTTGAATATGGTACACATGTGGTATCTGGAACACCTGGACGTGTTTATGATATGATAAAGAGAAGAACACTGAGGACACGGTCAATCAAGCTGCTCATATTGGTATGTGTATGCTTATAGATTCTTCAGTGATGTGCTTTGATGTGAACCCATAATTTCTGCGAGATGGTCTGTAAAGAATGTAGGAAATGAGATATCATGTAATTCTTGCGACGACAGCAGGATTTGCAACTTCCAGTGAACTTCTGTACAACCCAATTGACTATAAGGGCTTGACATCAGTTGTAACTACTCGGTTGAAAACGAACAGAAATAAATTAAACTTAAGTGGTTTATGTTGTGGTGACGGTTGTAGCTTTGTATAGATCAAAGCCTGCAGGTATTGATGCTTTTTGTTCTTGGTTTGTGCTTCAGGTTGAATCAGTTGAAATGCTCAGCAGCGGATTCAAAGACCAAATTTACGATGTTTATCGTTATCTGCCTCCTGAACTACACGTGATTGCAATGATCAGCTTATTGAATTTGTGCAAAGTGGGGGTCACCTAAGATTGTCTGGAGGTGTCAGAATTTGAATACAATAGAAGCATCATATGCATACATATACACACACACACACACACAAATGTACCGCCTTGCCGATTCTGGTTTTACTACGTCAGATTGTTGGTTTTGTCGTAAATATTTTCTGATCTATCATTTCCCCTACCATTATCCTGTTTTTGTGTAGTCCATAGTTGCATGATTAAGTTTTTTTGTTTGTTAACTCATTGCAGGTTGTGTTAGTTTCAGCAACTCTGCCTCATGAGATCCTGAAAATGACAAACAAGTTCATGACTGACCCTGTGCGAATTCTGGTGAAACGTGATGAGTTGACGTTGGAGGTTGGTTATTTCCTGTTGACTTAAACCTTAATAGAATGATATCATATTTTTGACTGTTGTCTCACATAGGACGTTGTTTAGATGCTTTGTCTCTTTAATATTGACGTAGGAAATTGTACTTACATATTCTTAAACACCGACAGATTTGGTGGGATCACTCTATGATAGGGAATTAAACAATTTTTTGTGGCCGTTGAGAGAGAAGAGTGGAAGTTTGATACTCTATGTGATCTTTATGATTCACTCACAATAAGTCAGGCTGTTATCCTCTGCAACACCAAGCGGAAGGTAGGGAGCTTTTGACAAATTTATGGCCGCTTATATTACTTTTGTTCCATCTGTAAATCAAGTCGTTGTCTTTTATTTGGATTTGTATTTCTTGCTGGTAGATGGCAACAACTGTCTGTTTCGGCGTTGCTGATGTTTTACAGTATTTTTAGTTCTTGATTAAGGGGTAGTGTTCACAGTTCGGATTCAGAGTTACCTATGCGATAAATCTTTTCTGCGCAGGTCGATTGGAAACGGAGAAAGTGAGAACTAACAAATTTACCGTCTCTGCTATGCACGGAAACATGCCTCAAAAGGAAAGTGATGCAATCATGGCTGAGTTTCGATCCGGCACTACCCGAGTGCTTATTACTACAGATGTTTGGGCTCGTGGTTTGGATGTTCAACAGGTGGGTGGTCGTCAAGTTTTATGCACTCTGGTCATTTTGGTGATGATTGGAAAGCTTGTAGTTGCCCGCTAGATTGTCACCACATTGTTTTTTGTTTGATGAATACCATCAAAATGTCGATATCTTAGCTTGGTTCAATTGTGTGTTCGCAAATTTCATATATTACTTCGTAATACGTTTTTCTGGTCATGTAATTGGTTTCACAAATCTAATAACTTTTCAATCAGGTTTTGTCTTTGCAATCGGTTTAGATTTTTCGGGTTGAGAGTTTTCTCTTTTGTGAACGTCTTCGACTGAGAGCTTGTAAATGTCATCTAAGTTTTTAGAAAACCTTGACAGGTATCTTTGGTAATCAATTACGATCTTCCAATTAATCGCGAGCTCAGACATTCATCGTATTTGTCTTTTTGCCCCCCCCCCCCCTTTTTTTTTTTTTTTTTTTTTTTTTTTCATTGTATTTTTGGCCTACAGCCATTTACCTGTTATTGTAAATATGACTTTTAGGAAGCTTTTTCTTCGAGAACAGCTGAGAACTCTGTTTTGGAGGTGCTCATTACAATGTATTTCAGTTTTCTTTGGTTCGTGGGAGACACTTATTTGCAAGTCACTGAAATTATCAGCAATGTTCCTTCCTCACAAGCAGATGTCCGTGTCACCTTAATTGGTACAGCTGAGACAAGTCTCTGTGGAGCATCTCGTATCATGATCTTGTGGGAGGTCAGAAATTTAGATGCATCGCTTGGCTATGAATGTTTTTATTTCGAGTTTCTCTTGCGTTGAATTCTTTTTTTTTTTCCTTGATTTTGTGCGTCTTATTGCTCAAATTGTTATGAAATCTGTGTTTCCCTCGTCGAAGTCCTCTCCCACGTCATGTAACGACTGCCTTCATTTTTGAAACATCTTGTGTCTCGTCGAATCCGTGGTTTCTTATTGAACCTTGGTCAAAAAGGAGACTCACGTTTTACTAGTAGCATTCTTGCCGACTAATAATCCCAAACACAATAATATTAACATTAGTATTATTTTAATCCCTTAGTTTTATTTTGCGCACAATGACAAGCCTATATATTGGAATATGGCCCACATTCCATGGCCTCATGATATAGTTTACACAGTTAGCGAGGGAGGCAGATTGACTATGTCATGTACCAGCTCGTGAACCTCCTTTTTCTTTTCTCTACGTCGCCATTACACTTCTGCATCCTTCTCATGACTTTCTGAAATGCAATTGACTTGCCGGTGAATACTTTCATGTTTCATCGTCAGGGTTCATTACTATCGTAATGTAATGCTACCAATCACCTTTTCGAACGGACGTGCTTGTTCTTGCCTTTGCAGCCCGCCCTGTATTAAGCCATGTTCTATCTCGAAAGTTCTGTTGGCCCTTATACTTGGTCACGATGCAATTCTACCATCACTAAGTTTTGCTGTGGGGATTCGTTGCATAATGCCGGCATTGCATGTCCTGATAATACGGAGAGCCCCAGCACTATTATTGGGCAGCGTTACTGTATTAAAGGGGTGGCCTCGCCTGTCAAATGGTGGTAATATGGCTCGAATGTGAGTCGACGAGACTTTTGTGGCACAAGCAGCATGATCCTGAAAATGTGTCTGTATTCAATCATTGTCTCTTTCCTCATGGAAATTCACGTCGAAGTCAGTCGGTAGGTCTAATCCAGAATTTACTCTCTTGGGATGCAGATCACTTTTTAAGGGTCACGCATACAGTATTAGAACGAGGCTCTACAGACAATCTTGGAAGGATAATCTTGTTTGTCTGCCTCGCTTATGTGCCTGACTAAGTCATTCTGGTGGTACTACATTCTTCTCAGTTAAGTTTGGTGTTCACCTATTAGCTAAGTTCAATTTATGTAGTTATAGTTCTGCCCTGGGCAAAGCAGTCTGCACTGATGTGTGTTACTTCGCCCCTGATCTATTGAACTCTATTTCTAATAATAAAACCATCTCTGTTTGAATGATGAATGCAAATCTTGACGTTGATGGTCCATTTTCGAAGAGTGAAGAAACTGTTAGGTCTGACTGTTCAGAGTAACTGACGAACAATACTCCTCAATGCTTTATTCCCAAGCAATACTTTTACTGGTGATAAGCTCTCTTACAGACACTGAACTTCGAGCCTCGCTAAAAAAACACTGTGCTGAGTGTGCCAGCCGACAAACTTTCATGAAATTGCATGTTGACGCAAGATACATAGATTTGAAGAATTTCAGAAAGGCAAATCCAGGTCAGAACCGTCCTCATGTACCAAACTAGTCTGTGGAGGCTCTGCATAAATACTACTTCAAGGAGGTTGTCATCCTGGTCGTCTGTAATCGCCTCTTAAGCCTTGCTGCAGCTAATTGCTAGTTCTTCTGACCACGATAAGATCTCTTAACACGTTCATTCCTGTAGATCAGAGTCGCTTAGTTCGTTGTGGCCAAGTTATTTGGAGGGACACTCTATTCATTTCACGTGATCCATCATGGCCCTGGAGCTTCTTTCCCTTGCACCAACATCTGCATCGGCTCCTGCACTTCAAAGAAACAATTGTGAATTAATGCAACGAACCAGCAAACACCATTACGTCGAAGGCACTAAGTTCTCCTCAGTGATTTCTTCAACATTTAACAACCATATCGACATCCAAGTGTTAGATCACATGCTACAGATACTGATCAACAGCCAGGTCATTCAGCAATTCTCATACATCCTGTCAAAGAGCCCAGAGGCCGCCATTCAGATTCCCTTTCAGACATGCGAGGATGACGGAGGCTGCACAATGGCCTGTTTCCCTAACCAACTTTATCATCACACGGGAGGTATCATCACCCACACTGGAATCCATCTCGATGACGGCTCCCACAGTGGTTTCAACCCCCACGGACTCAGACATCGATCTGGACACACGATCAGTCTCAAACATCATGCTGAGGAGCATCTGCACTGCCGACGAAGCAGAAGCAGCAGAGGAGCAGAGCTTACAGGCGATGGCGATGGAGGACACAAGTGCCCTGGATTTCCCTGCCCACACTGCCATCGCACACGGCGCATTCTCATCGAAAGCATCGATCATCACGTGGGTTCCCATTCGGATTCAATCTGATCTTTTTGCTACTATCATGCTCAGTGTCATTGCAGGTTCATTAGCTTCTCAGGCGTAGTTCTTGTGAAGGTTTAGTTTTAGCTCCCTCACATTAATAATTCTTCGTTGTAAATTTTATTCAATTTGCTCATTCATCTACTCTTGTTGCAAACGGCGATCATGGTGCTATGTTCGCCACCACTTATTTCTACTTCATTCAATCTCTTCATGATCCTCTACAATGTTGTTTCATGATCTCCAACACTTGTGTTTGATGTTTAAGTCTTTACTTTGATACTTTGACATGATGGTGTGTCAAGGGTTGTAATGTACACTTCGATCTTCTCATTCCACTTCTCTTAGATTATCTACAATGGAGTTACAAAGTTGTCTCTAATTATTCTTGTGATAGTGTCTGTAGTGAATGTGTATTTATGTATCTAATTGCATTTATAGTAATTTAAGAAAGTCTTAGATTATCTACAATGGAGTTACAATGTTGTCTCTAATTATTCTTGTGATAGTGTCTGTACAGAATGGGTATTTATGTATCTAATTGCATTTATAGTAATTTAAGAAAGAATTATAAAATTAGACCAAACATATAATAAATGTATCAAATGCATACATCTTTTGTTGCAATTAGAAGTTGTTTATAAAGATTATAATTATTTTTATATTAATCACAAACATTATAAATTTTGAATATTAATATTTAAAAAGATAAAGTTCTTTTTTTGAGATAAAAGATAAAATTTGGATATATATATATATATATATATATATAAACATATTGTATTATTTGAATAAACATGATTTCTTGGGTGGAATAGATATTGGTATTATAAAGTCTATAATTTTTTTTCTCAAATACCATAACCTTGAGCTAGCTTTGACAAACAACATGATCTTCTTGAAATTCAATTAAAAAGAATATTCAAAATTTATCTATTAACCAACAATTCAAATCTAAAAACAACCATCTTCATGTAACAATCTGCAAAATATAAAATCACAAAAAATAATATTGAAATTCTTAAATAAAATAAGTCTATTTTTTTTAATTTTATTTTTTGATTTAATTCATTTTGCAGTTAGAATTGTAATTAAAATTATAATCCTTATTGTTAATTTTACAAAACAGTTTTATTACTAGTAGTTCAAGAGCATTTTGTTTTATCAAAAGATTTTATGAAGCAAATAATGTATATATTTATCAATTAAAATTTGAAAACATATATAATTAATAATATATGTAATAAATAATTATACTTATTTTATAATGCCTCTTTCAAGATCATCCTAATACATAATGTATCAATTGTTTCTATTCTTACATCTTTTAAATATTTTAAACAAATTCCAACTTTATAAAATAATTTGTACAATAAATACCATTAATGTTTTTGTTCACAAATTAATATTATTATATTGATTTTTATTTTATTTATTTATTTTTATTTTTTAAGAATAAACTAAAGTAACTATAAGGTTGTAAATAATTTATCAAAAAATAAAAAATAAAAAATAATATTAATTATTTTAGAAGAAAAAATATCAATTATATTTTATTTTTAGAAATTTAAGAAATCTATAAGATAATTGACAAATTTTGATGTTATGATTTTTTTAAAAGATTGGTTCATTTGACAATTGCAAGATTATTAAAAAATTAATAAAAATTCAAGTTAATTTAAAAAAAGAAAAAAAAACCATTTTTTTCAAGTTAGATCGTTAAAAGTATATCTTTATGTGAAGAATTATTTTTTAATAAATAAAATAAATAACTAATAAATAAAATTGCAAAAAATTAGAATAATTTAAATACCTATTTTAAAATACACCTAATATAAAATACGTATCTGTAATAAAGAAGTAAAAAAAATATGGTAAGAATAACAATGCAAAATTTTGAAAAACTAAGAAGAGGATTTTTCTTTTATTTAACAATAAAGAATAAAAATAAAATTCTTGTCATAAATGTTGACTATTAAGGAATTAGTTTATTAAATATTAATTTTTATTTTTAATTAATACAATTTATCAATTATGTAAGGATTTAAAATATTCAGAAATGACCAAAAAATTAAAATTCTTTAGTATTGAATTAAAAGATAAATCAAGAAAGGTATAAAGTTATGTATTGGTATGTAAGGTAAAAAATATCCAAATAAAAATATATAAATTTTTAAATCATCTAAGTCATTTCAGCTCATGTTATTGATAATTAACATAAGGTCAAATTCTTCTTTTATTTCTATTACAATAATAGTTTTATTAAACATCCAACGAACGAAGTGATCACCGACCAACGAACGAAGTGAGCACGAACCAACGAACGAATTGCCATTCCACCAACGAGTCAGTGGCAACGAGTCGAGGCGCGTGGACGGGTTTACGTGAACAGTTTTCGTGTGATGATGGTAAGGACCTCTGGCGTGGTCTGGCTCCCCGTTGAATTCGCACAATCCTCGCCCCGACTCCCTTTCTGACTGCAATTTCGAGCGGCTCTTCATGGAAATTGGTTGCGAATCTGTGAATGGAATCAAAGTTGCCGACATAGGAATAGCAAGGCGTGGTCGTGATTACGTCGTGAGCGTCGGGGATTCTCTCGCGATTCCTCGGAGCTCCGTCTTCTTCCTTAAATTGGCGATGAGGCAGTGAAGTCGGTGTCGAAGGGTCGCGCTTCTGTTCGGAACATTCACCAAAGTGGGTTCCTCTCCGTCCGTTTTGGTGATCAATTGCTGAATTGAGTAATGGCGTGCATTCCCAGGCCACAGCATGGATGCCCTGTGCAAAGGAGATAGTTTTCCGTTTTTCCTTGGAACAAGGTATGGCCTTTTTTTTAAATTAATGTCGTGAAGTTTACTTTCGAGTGAAACAGTCGATGGCGTCGGATCTTAGAGTAAATTATGAACGAGCAAAGGATAAATCGGACCGGCAAAATTTGTCGTATATGTGAAAAGAGTCGGAATGCCGGTCCCGACAATTTCCAATCTCATAGGTCTAAACATCGTGCTTAGTTTACTCATGTACGCGTTTCCCACGCGCAAGCTAATTTGCTGGTCGATGACTCTGCCTTGGTGAAAGAGTTTTGCTGGACGTGAGGGGGTGCTTCTTAGTGAGGGCGAACGTCTACAATGTCCCGATGCCCTTTGATGAAACGATGGATGACTGAATTGGTGTCGAATCAATAACGTGTTGGAAGGATAGAATTTCGACGCATCACTGTTATAAACCTTAAGCATTCCTCTGAAACAAAAATTCTGAAATTAAGCTTTTCCCTTGCATTTCACAGTTGAATTGTGAAGTTGATTATCTTCTTAATTCCCCACAGGTTTTAACCCTTCTAATGGAGGAAAAGATTAGGATTAGTAAACCATTGGCTAGCTGCTTCCGTTGGGATAGGTTCGTGACATGCAATAATTTTCTGGGGAGACATGAAAGTCAATTATGCAGAGACTTCAAGCTGGACCAGCAAAGGTGTAGTCCGCTTATGAACATACTCTTTATACTGCAACCTGCAAGAATTCTTTGCAATTAATCTAGAAGAGGATAAGTTTAATACTATTGTTTCTGAGCTTCATTTCCTAGGGGAGGAGCTATTGCTGATGATGACACGATTTAACAGATGTTTAGACCGATTTATTTGTAAATTTTATGAAGTGATGTTTCGACTGCAGCTCTGAGCTTACCAAGATTCAAGAATGGATCTAATTTGATTGGCACCTCGCAAGGGTCACTCTTGGTGAGATTTGAATGACGATTCTACTCATTGGTTAATCTGGTGCTAACTAGGGCGACGTAGTTTGTTTTGGTCAATTTCTTCATTTTTAATCGGCTGCTGAGCTTCTCTCGTCAAGTTTAATCGAATCAATCTTCACTATGACACATTGTATGGATTTTGTGACGGTTGGGAACAATTTAGGCTTTACAACAATATAGAAGAAGGTGACTACTTGGCGTGTACCCTGGTTGCTGAGTCGATATTTTTTGTCAAGATTACAACAAACAAGGCTGTGAAAAGTCTGTTTCCTTACTCGATTCGAATGCTGAAGTGTCTTTACTGGCTGCCAAAACTCAATATGATGATGGATTGTATTACAAATTATCTCTTTGGAGCTCCTCGGACAAGGCTGATGAAGTCCTTATTTCAAAAGGAGGGGAAAAACGTAGAATGAAGCAGTACAAGAGTAATACTCTTTTTGCTTTCAAAATACTTCCCTATATTCATCAGCAGGAACCAAAGACCTCGGATGCTGGGATTAAAGAGATAGACATGAATATTCACCATCTTGTGGGTCTCGACAAATCTATAACAAAAGTTCAAGCCAGCGTCTGTCACTTAGGAGAAGAACGTTGTTCTAAAGAATTAATTGAAAGAATAATCCAATAGGGAATGCCATTAATTCTTGAGCCTGCCGAATGTAGTGTATCTGATATATCTTACCCTCATGTATTTTACAGTAATAAACTAGTACATATACATATTCTAGTTCTTGTGGTAGCACACAATCAATGTTACAAAATGGACATTCATTTATGTTGCAAATACAAATGTGCCAAACACTTTGTGGAACTTCTGTTATTTGTTGAATAAGTCTCAACTTGTCATACAATACTATTCAATATTCCTCCTCTAGAAGTGGGGCTTAATTCTCTACTAAAACAAGATTAAACATATCTTTGAAAGCTAGAAATTTATCTCTAGAAAGAGATTTTGTGAAGTTATTTGTTGCCATGTGCTTTATAAAACAATATTCTAACCTAATCTATTTTTTTTCTACACATTGCCTAATAAAATGATATTATATATCTCAATGATTTATACAACAATGATATGTTGGATTCTTAGCAATAGCAATAGCAATAGCATTATGATTATTCTTATAAATAATGAGTTTTTCTAGTTTGAAAATGTCATAATCCCTAAGTACTTTATGAAGCTACAAAGTTTTTCTTATTGTAGTGGTCAAAGTTACATACTTTGCCTCTATTAATGAAACAAAAACTAATGATTTTTTCTTGCTTGATTAAGTGATAATTGCGTTGCTTAGTATATTTGTATAATTACCTACTGAATGGTGTATCTTTGTACAACTTGCTCTATCTGCATTATTATAATCTACAAGTTGAAAACTTACTTTTTTGCTTCCATACTATAATACCAAATTTTTATTTGTTGTAAGTAATAAAATATTAGTTTGATTTGTTACCAATGCAAGATACATAGATATACCATGTATTAAGCAAAGTGCTGACAAGCAAATGCAATGTTGTACCTTATATCATTTGCAAGATACAACAATAAACCTAAAGCTTTTTGATAAAGCTTTATATCTTTTGCATCAAAAAGATTATTATTCTCATGCTTAGTGAGATGACCTTATATTATTGGTGTTGGAATTATCTTTATATATTTTATTTCAAATTCCTTCAAATTTCAACAAATGTAATTAATTTAACTCAAACTAATAGTACTATTTTTCTAATCTTACAAGAAATTAATGTAAAAAAAATGATTAGGTTCACTAAGGCCTTTTATTTTAAAATTGTCACGGACACAAAATACAGACTTGAAATCTAACAAGAAGTTTAAGAAGAAGTGGCAGAACTAGATTAAACAGATGAGTACAAGAACAACACCAGAAATGTGAGCTAGAACTCCAAGAGATGTGTTGTCGAGACTGAAGAACTCTTCAGCCTCGACTCCTATATATACTACTGGCCTATGGTTCTAAGGAAGCGCATCAAGAAGCTTCTCAAGAACTATGAATCTTCTCGAGCAACTATCCAAGAGCTAGGAAGCTTCTCAAGTAACTTCCTAGAATCTACTAGAATATTCTAAGAATCTTCTAGAGCCTTCTAAGAGAATCTTTAGGGAATCTTCAAAGAATCTTTAGAGAATATTTGAAGAATATTCTAAGAAAATATTCAAGGAATCTTCTGGAAGTTTCTAGAGACTTCTTTCTAGGAGGTTCTAGAAACTTGTCTCTAGAAAGGACTAAGGACTATGTCCCTAACATCACCTCCTCTTTTAGCTTCGAGGTCTCCGAGAAGCAATGTTATCGTCAGTCAATACCAACGCAAGAAAATGAAGATCTGTCGCATAACCTCTGCTATGAACTCCAATTGTTGTTCACGAGGCAAGTGATTCAATGGTCCTTGAAGCCAACGGTAGTGGCCCACGCCTTCAACTTCTGACCAAGCATGAACCTCTGTGTCTTCATTGTGAAATTGTCCTACAAACACTCCTTCTAGCTGACCATTGTAGGCAGGCTCGACCTCAAATACAATCACCAGCGATCTGTTGCTTGGAATCCTTCGACGTCATCGTGGTACAAGCGGTTCTTCATCTTGCGGTCGTCTTTGTGAGCTAGTTGCTTGAGATGACATGACAAGTGTAGTATCTTGGCTATCCATATTCAAAGGCTAAAACAATAAGAACAAACTTGGGCTACTAACAAAGTTCTACGCTATCTTGGAGAGAATGACTACATCAACTATGGATTTTGGTGGTGCTCTCTCCTCTTTTCTGTTTTCTGGATGAGCAAGCTTCAGTAAGAAGCTATCGTCGAACCGGCTTGGGTTTCTCAGGATATCGTCGATGAAACTCCTGTACCTTTTGCGGCGCATTCGTGAGATTTTCGGCCGGCTCCCATGTTCGTTCATTAATATCGTAACCGCTCCAATGCACAAAGTATTCTAATTTACCCCGTCTTTGCCGTGAATCCAGGACCTTTTCCACCTCGTATTCTTCATGGTTCTCTATTTCTATGCTAGGTGGTGGACATTGTACTCTTCCAGGAAAAGACGATTCTCGATAAGGCTCCAACAAAGAAACATGAAAGACAGGATGTACCTTCATAGTAGCTGGTAACTCCAGACGATACGCTACAGGATTGATCTGCTTCTGGATAACAAATGGTCCCAACCTCCGATAGTCCAATTTGTCACATGGCCGCTTGGTCTTAATATTTCGTCGAAGCAGCCAAACTTTGTCTCCAATCGTGAATTTAGGTGCCTGATTCCGAAATTTATCCGCGGACGCCTTGCAAGATTCTTGGGCAGTTTGCAATTGAAGCTTCAATGTAGTTTGAAGCTGCGAAAGCTCCTTCACCAATCCTTCAGCTGCCGGATTGTTAATCGTTGACGAACTCCATAAGTCAAGCTTCGGATGGTATCCATAATTGGAAAAGAATGGCGTTTGTTGAGTTGACGCATGAAGGATGTTGTTATATGCGAACTCGGCTAGCGGTAGATATGCGACCCAATCATCTTGTTGATAGTTGATGGTGCAACGTAAATATTGCTCTAAAACTTGATTCACCCGTTCTGTTTGGCCGTCCGTTTGAGGATGAAATGCCAAAGAAAGCTTGATATCCACCTTCAATATTTCAAAAAGAGATTTCCAAAACTTTGACACAAACTAGGTTCCTCGATCTGATACGATATCATCTGGTAGACCATGATATCGATACACATTATCAAGAAAGAGTCTTGCTGTATCTTCGCTTGACGATGTCTTCTTGCAAGGGACAAAATGCGCCATCTTTGTAAGCCGGTCTACGACAACAAAAATGCTGTCAAATGAATTCGATGGTGGTAGATCCATAATAAAGTCCATGGAAACCGAAGACCATGGTCGGCGCGGAATAGGCAATGGCTGTAGAAGTCCATAAGGCCGATGTCGAGGGTTTTTGGATCTTGAACAAATGTCACAAGATACAACAAAATCTTTCACATCCTTCCACATTTGAGGCCACCAGAAATCGCAGGAAATAAGTTCCAAGGTCTTATTGAATCCAAAATGTCCCGCAGCTGGAAAGTCATGACGAGATTGAAGAACTCGGAGTCGTGTTGGCCCTTTTGGGATATACAACCGCTCTTCGAAATATACTAGATCTCCTTCCATCTTGAATTTATCATTACTAGCATGTTGCTTGATATCAAGGGCTAGAGAATCTTCAATGGTTGCGGCCCGTACCTGGTTGAGGAAGTCAGCATCAATTGGTACAATAGCTGTGTTGAGCCGAAATTTCTCTGGCTTCAACAATGTCATGCACTGTTGATCAAATGCTGTATCTCCAGCCTTTGGCACGAGATATGATCTCCTTGATAATGCATCGGACAACCCTTGTTGCTTCCCAGGCCGATAAGTAATAATAAAGTCGAACCTGGATAGCGACATACTCCACCGAGCTTGATGCCGATTCAAAATCCGAGCCGACATAAAATATTCCAAATTCTTGTGATCCGTATATACGGTCACTGGATGTGCAGTTCCTTCGAGAAAGTGTCGCCACTCTTGGAAAGAATCTACTATAGCAAGGAGTTCCTTATCGTGGATCTCATAGTTGATCTCAGCAGCAGAGAATTTTCGAGAATAGAACGCAACTGGATGGAGCTTCTCATCTACGCCCATCTGTGAAAGTACAGCTCCCAAAGCAAAATCCGAAGCATCTGTCTCCAAATAAAAGGCCTTTGTAAAGTCCGGATGTACCAAGATTGGAGCTGTAGTAAATACCATCTTCAAATCTTGAAATACTTTTTCTGCGATAGGTCCCCATTCGAGCTTGTCCTTACACATTAACCGAGTGAGGGGGGTAGCAACTTGAGAATAATTCTTGATGAAGATCCGATAGTAGTTAGCAAATCCAAGAAAACATTATACGTCCCTAACCGTCTTCGAAACTTTCCAAGACATGATTGCTTCCACCTTCTTTGGATCCATCTTCAAGCCTTCCATAGTCGCGATGAATCCCAAAAACTCCATCTCAGTTTGGTGAAATAAGCACTTCTCCAATTTGGCATAGAGTCCTCGCTCCCGTAGTTTTTTGAGTACCAGACGAACGTGCTTCTCATATTCTTCCTCGTTCTTAGAAAATATCAAAATATCATCTAGATAGATGACAACAAAATCGTCTAGATGCTCTCGAAAGATGTCATTCATCATGTGTTGAAAGACCGCTAGAGCATTAGTAAGACCAAATGGCATGACATTGTATTTGAAATGGCCATACTTTATTTGGAATGCTGTCTTCCATTCATCTCCTTCCTTAATTCGCACAAGGTTGTAAGCTCTCCTTAGGTCAATCTTTGTAAAGATCCTTGTATGCCCAAGTTGTTCTAGAAGACTAGAGATCAAAGGCAGTGGGTAGCGATTCTTTTTTGTCACCTTGTTGAGACCTCGATAGTCCACGCACATCCGTAGTGAGCCATCCTTCTTCTTCACAAATAAGATTGGTGCCCCAGTTGGCGACTTCGAATGACGGATGAAGTTCTTGGCTAGATTCTCGTCAATGTACTTTCGCAACTCAGTCAACTCCATCTGCGATAAATTGTAGATTGGTCCAAAAGGTGGTTGTGCTCCTTCTTGCAATTCAATGGCACAGTCATAGGGTCGATGCTCTGGCAGCATATCAGCATTCTTCTTTTCAAAGACATCTTTGAATTCTTCATACTGCTTTGGAATAACCAAAGTCGGAGTTGCATCTTCTCGAGTCGGAGTTGCGAAGATGACAAGAGGTGTATTTTACTTGGCTTCCTTCATGAAAGCCCTTGCACCTATAAACAAGG